TAATGTGTTTACGCCGTCATGTTATCAGAATGTCACTAATTTAGTTAGTTTTCTTTTTGTCTTAAGATGGTTATCAGGCTATTATTGTATGCATTGTCTTTATCTGTTATACATAGGCCTATTTGAAAAAAAAAAAAGTTTTGATCCACATTAGATTAAAGATTTATGAGAGGTTGTATGTCTTGCTGGGACACAAGTATACAAAATAACCACAGTTAATGTTTAATGCAATACATTTAAAAGTTCAGATGTACGCTGATCATGCAGGAATTCCTACAACAGAAAAACTATGTTAAGATATTCTCACATCGGGGCGCTGGTGACGCAGTGGTTAGTGCGCGTGCCCCATTAATGGAGGCTGTAGTCCTCCAAGCGGGCGACCCGGGTTCGGGTCCGGCCTGTGGCTCCTTTCCAGCATGTCGTTCCCCACTCTCTCTCTCTCTCTCTCTCCTCATTTCCGACCTTGTCCACCGTCCTATCTCTTGAATAAAGGTACAAAAAGCCCAAAAAAAAATATTTAAAAAAAAAAAAGAAGATATTCTCAGATATTGACCCACGTCCAGGACTGGCTCACCCTCCAAACAAAAAAAACAGTGCATGATGTTCTCACTATGTCCAGAAAATACTTCACACTCATGTGTTCTTGGGAGGGGAAGAACTACAACTTGTTTATGGGGTCAATCATGGATTCTTCACTTTCTCTCCAGAGCCACATTAAAAATGTCAAACACCATAAAATGTAACCTGTATAATATTAAACAAATTAGGACATCTCTGATTAAAGGTGCAACAGATGTATTTGCATTGAGACGCAATCTTCAAATCGATTCTGAATCGTATTGGGAGCCAATGAAGGGACGCTTGGACAGGACTGATATGCTCCCTCTTCCTGGATCCAGTCAGAAGCCATTAAGTTACAGTTCACATCAAAGTATAAATTAACCCAAAGAAAACACACAGTCTTGATTTAGTTCAGTCATTTTTATTTAGTTTCTGGAATTGCAAAATATCATTGTTTGTCTCTTATCCATGCTTAACTCTGTTTGTTCAGTTTCCCATGTGGTTCCATGCAGGAAAAAGGGGCTGGCCCAGCACTTCCTGGGTATTTGTTAGATTGATGATGTCATCACGGACATCACTGTGGCAGACCATCTGAAAGGGGTTTCATTTCTGAGAAATGTTTTGTAATTTGTAATTTGCCCCTTGAGATGCATCATCTCATTTTCGAAGGGGTCACACACACACACACGCACACACACACACACACACACACACACACAGTCACAATCACTCGCACTTAATGCTCCCCTAAGCCTAGCCACCCACCAACCAGCCAGTATTACACAATCAGAAAAAATCTGAAGAGAAAAAAGAAAAGAAAAGAAAACCTCTGCAATAACATATAAAGGTAGAGCTGTGTACACCCAGGCACACGTGCACCATATAAATGCATAAACATGTACATATATATGCATACACACTATACAATGAATACACACATAGTGTCCGCAATATCAAGGCACAAGGTACAGCACAGTATATACATCTAGATATGAGGTACACGAGCGCGAGCAAGAGGACAGCAAGTCCAGAAAGAGTGAGTCCAATAAAGGAAGAAAATCAAAAGCAAGAGCAGGATGTTTGACAATGAGTAAGTAGAGATGATTTAAAGATATGAAAAGAGGTGAGAGATCAAAGTGAGCGAGGTAGGTTATTCTAATCTGATGTAGCTTTAAATTTAAATGCACGGCGACCAATTTATTTTCTGATTCTTGGTGTAAAGAAAAATAGATGATGAGTATGCCTTAGGCTATACTGTGAACTGAAAGGAATTAGAAATTCTTTCAAGTACGGAGGAAAATTAAAATGGATACATTTAAAAGTAAATAGCGACCAATGAAATTTCCTTCTGGACTTGGGAGCCAGACAATTTAAGGACTCGTACATTAGGCAGTGATGGGTCCTATATGGACACCTCAGAACAAATCTACAGAGACTGTTATATAAAATAGTGAGAGGACGAAGATTTGTCTCTGAGGCGTTCCCATAGATAACATCAGCATAATCAAGGATTGGCAGCACCAATTGTGTCACGATTATTCTCCGGACTTGTAGAGAAAAACTTTCAATAGAACGATAAAGTGATTTTAGACGACCATATATTTTCTTAGAGATTGAGTTGATATGAGGTTTGAAAGATAACTGGGAATCGAGCCAAATGCCCAAATATTTAATTTAATCTTCTTCCTCTAATCATTTATTTTTTATGTTTAAGTCACTGGTAGAATGTAATTTAATTATTTAATGTTCATTTAGTTGAGTTAATGATCTGAGGTGAATTTAAGGGTTTATTAAGATTTCTTTGCTTTAAGAGAAAAGTGTAAACCCGCTATTTGAGTTGTGCTGCTCCCAGCGGCGGCCATTTTGTTAATGGGGCCGTCTATAAAGCCAGGAGACATTTGTTCTTGCATGAGGAGAGGTGAGCACGTGCTGCCTTTGACATGTTTCTTAGTCTGATTTAATTATGAATTAAGTTGCCTTATTGACGTTGAACTTTTGTTGTTTTGTTAAGCGAACACGTGTTGGTTTAATCACTATAAATAAAAACTGCTGAGTTGCCTTTCTACCACCTTCCTAGACACTTGTGTGCTAATTACTTTACAAACATTGAGAATGAAAGTTCAGCTACAGACACAGAAACAGTCTGTTCTGAGCAGATGGTCACTGGATATGCTAACATCCGCAGATATTATCGGCTGGCTGAATTATCGGTCGAGCTCTGGATGATAGTGCAAACAGGTTGATCCAAACCAATCGTAGTAAAATGTACCCATGCTGAGTGAGAAAGCATTGCTTGTCTGCAAAAATAAAATCTTATTGCGATAAATTCTGACAATAGCGATGTGATTGTTGCAAATCCATTCATTGGGATAACGACGTAACTGCACTTACTTGCGCAAACCTATAGCCGACCCTGACCTTTGTTTTCATTTTGTTCTTTTAAAGGAGGATTATTATGATTCCAAAGAGCTGGAGAAGCTCAAGTCCCTGGTGTCCATCCTCCGCCAGCTTCTGAACCCTTTAAATGCTAGGTTATTAGTTGGATGGCGATTAGAGTCTTGAATATGTTAAAGACTAAAAACAAAGTAGATTTGATTGCATTCTTTTATGTACCCTCTGGACACCTTTGTGGCCAAAATGTACACACAAAATCTGCTATAAAATTTCAATCTTTGCTTTTGTATTTTGCTGTTTTTTCTGCTTGTGAAAGAGTGACTCGCCCCTGGTCTCAGGAGTGTGTGATAGACAGGGGGCTTCAGGAGAAATCTCACCGAAAAAAATGTCATTGGGCTGGGTACACAGAGTATTTCTGAAAGGTGTGTTTCTTAGTAGACATACATCTGCTTGGAGAATAGCCAGAATTATTATTTTTTTGCCTTAGAACCCATTCCACGGATGTTCCAGGAGACAAATTTAGAGCTGACACGCTGAGAGACTTATGAACACAGAAAACATGAAGTCTTGTGACAGAGTCCATGGACCACAAGAGGGCAATATTTGCAAAGAAGAAATGGGTTATTAACGGGTTATTTCGAGCATTTCTTATAAATAATGAGGTAGATGATAAAGTATCTATTAATGTTTTTAAACCATGAATTCAAACAACTATAGAGCAAGAAAAGTGGAAAAAACCCACTAAAACGATGGCACATGTTAACAGATCATGTATTCAACTTTTAAATTCATTGTTCAGGACAAGTCAACCTTTTCCCCAAACATTTTTAAGCACAATTTCACAACATGCAAGATATTGGAAGCTATCTTTGCTGCATCTTATACGTTTATCACTGATGTTTTTCCGACTGCACTTTAAGCTGGTTTTGTCTGTAATCATTCTAATTGATCTGACTCTGACAGGGAAGTGTACGGAGTGTGGAGTTCTTCATGCTGGACAAAAAGCCGGTTCCAGAGCTGATCGCCGCCACAGTGGAGAGAGAGTGAGAGACCTCTACTCCCCCCTGTGGGTGAGGGGGCTTCGAGAGGTCTCGCCTTTTTCTTTTTTAAATTAATGCAAGACAAAGGACAATACACTTACAAAACAACACAACAGATAAATAAGAGAGAGACAGACAGAGAGAAATATATATATATATAGGAGGGTTCGAAGGAGACTGCCATTTTTACGTTAATATGAATCACTTTTCAAAGTCTGAAAACTTTCAATTAGTTGAGGTGACATAAACGTATAATATTGAGTTAACACAACATTTTCATAGACTTGAAGTAAAACTAACTTAGAATGTCATGTTATTTTGACTTTTTGTTTTTACAGTGTGGTTAATGTTAGCTACGGCTAGCAAGCAGCTGGTCGCTAGAAGAAGTTTTGTGTCGCTGTTTTCATAGAATGAGATGAATGTGTTCTCCCCTAAAACATTAAAGTCTAATCAGTAATAGTCTTCTTCCTCACAGCTGAGGTGTGTACATGTTCCATTTCTATACCTGAGATATTATTGTTTTCTCTTCGTATTATTTGCTGTTAAATGTTTTGTCATAAATCATGAGCACTATAAAAGATGCAGACCTTGATATCTCCAACTAACACTTTCCCGGGCACAGTTTTAATTAAATGTAGCTTCTAGTAACTTTACAGATTATCAATGAAAACAATATATCAAACATAAAGGCTATTAGCTACACTTCTTGTAGCTTAATATCATCTGATAACTGGAATAGGTTTCGATAATAACGTAAGGCTGACCTCCAACAATGGTAGCTGAATGTAAAACTTCATTTCTTGAAGCAAGATGGCTACTAATATTCTTTATTGCTTTATACATTTAGAGCTTTATTTCTGTCTTTTCTTTTCTAGTTTCTTGATACATTTCTTGAAACCTCCTGATAGCAAACATATTCTGATTCAGATTAACTTGTAGCTCAACTTTAGGCAACATTCATTGTGTAAGGAGAAATAACCTGTAGACAAATAATTACACTACAGACACAGACAAAAAAAAATATTTAATTGAACATTTTCAATCCAATGCAAACTGAAATGTGGATCTTTGTGGTACTGATACAAAGAAGTGTTTCCATGGCACTGCACCAGGTGGCTCCAGCTCCTATTACAATTATCAAATGCAGACATATCCATCAGTTTTCCTTCTTCTGATCTTCTAAAGTTCCCTCGTGCTCTCTTTCATCTTACGAGGAATGTAGGCACAAGGCTGTTCTGTATACTGTGAAATTATTTTTTAAGGAGAAGATCTCAAGCTATAGTCTGTCTCATACAGTATGTCGGCTACATCATTAAATCCTCATTTTCCCTCTGCTCCTAAAGTTACAAGTAATGTCAACGCTGTAAAATAGAACCATCACTTATTCTCTCTGTTATATCTAAACATCCTCTTTTTCCCATTTATGTCACATATATTACTCATTTGCAAACCAGCGCCTGCTCCTAACATTAGATACTCCTTATTTGCTCATAGGAAGTTCCTGAATAATAATACAAATGTCAACCTAAGCTTCAGAGGAGAACACACATCTGTTCTGATCAGTGAGAAGCATCTAGGGTGGACGGCACTATAATGCTTGGGTTTGAAACGAGAGGACTGTCTCTCAAAGAGCAGTGTCTTCAGAGCCAAAAAGCTTGGTGGCGATGGCCTGGCAGTCAGCGACCGGCGCTTTTCCATCAAAATCCGAAGGTAGGATTTCGGCATCAAATTCTTTAATGTAGTTGTCCAGCTCGTCGCCATGAACAAACACCTGAGGACATTGAAATAAAGAATTCAGAGGAGATGGGGATGCAAATAGGATATAGAAAAGACAGAAAAAAGATTCAGAGCCTTTCCTGAACTCAAGTGAAGTTTGTTTAAAGGTGATATTCAGATAGAGATACCAAGACATAAAAATCCAAAGAAAACATCTTCAATAGGGAATTATGGCTTCATGGCCAAACACATGAGTTAGAGGGACCAGCTTACCACCCAAGCAGCAAACTTTAGGGCCTAAAATTCTAAAAATTAGGTCAATGCAGAATTGCCCAAAAAAAGAACTGCTGTTTCTCTATTGTCCACTTGAGGCTAAATCTGAAAGCTAGTCAATCCCATCTACCCCAACCCAGGCCGCCGCTTGGAAGACTAAGGCCTCCGTTAACAGGTAGCACTCAATAACCACTAAACTACCGGTGCCCCGACGTTATCACAATCTAACGTATCTGGGCCTGATTTTTTTCTTTTTTTATGGCAGCCAGTGCAAAGAAGCCAGAATTGTTGTAAGTCTTCCCGCACAGAAAAGATGGTGAGCCATAGTCTGTCATTTACTTTAAGATACGTATGAGCGAGTAACAAGTCTGTTAAGTTCCACAAGAAACAACTGCAGTCAGCTATCACTGTTAATATAATCTCATTCTGTGGGAAAATGGGATTGGCTGTCTAATCAGCAAGCCTATGAATGAGCCTCTAGCGTAGTCTAGATAAGCCACAATGCAGAACAAGAGGCTTCCAAACGGCAGCTCAAAGAGCTTTGTGACTTCTTTCACTTCTTCTTACAGCGTATTGATCTAATGTACCCACACCATGACATTAAAGGCATTTCAGTTGTTTTAAAAATAAATGTTTATAATCTTCCATTTCAAACAAACTTGATATTGAATTTAAATAACCCGTCCATACCCTCTCCAGCAGTTTGCTCTTCATGAAGGGTTTGACCACGTTGTATGTAGTGGTGAAGTACCACGGCTGGTGGGTGACATGGACCGCTTTGAAACGGGCAGGGAAAGAGTCCTGCACAAAAACACACAAAGCAGCAAAAGACTTGAAAAAACAAGCTCTGTGATTTCGCATGAAGAAGTTTTCTGCTTTCTCTCTAGAGTCTCTTCTGACCTGCAGCATGTCCACCATCTTCTTGAGCTCAGCTGGTTTGATTCCTGAGGCGTGCTGCATGGTGAAGCCTTTGAAATTCTCAATCAGGACGAAGCCGTTAATCTGGGTTTCTTCATTCTCCAGCAACTTCTCCAGGATGACGCAGTATGCTCTTAAGATCTGTGACACAAGCAGAAATGCATATCTATTACAACAACTAGCTCTTTTGTGCATTTATGTCAAAGAGGTGTGTTTTACAGCTACCTCATCGAATGTGATCTCCTCCAGGTCCCAGTTCTCGATGTTGAAGAGCATGACTACACGGCCGTACTTGTCCCTGCTGGGCAGGACCACAGGGTAACCCGCTTCGATGGTACTGCGGACTGCCTCAGGAGTCATGTTCTCAAAAAGCTCAGGATATTCCTTCCTGAAGCGCACATAACCTACAATCAAACACACACACACACACACACACACACACACACACACACAGACAGAAACAGAAACAGAAGATCAGCTGCATTCTCCTTTCAAGCACTAATAGTTCACAATGCCTTTGTGTAAAAAATGTGTGTTCAGTACCAAACACAATGACACCAGTGTCTCAGTGCATTTGCAGAGCTGCTCTGAGCCTCTTCATAGAAAGGCACCAATTAACCCAGAATGACAGTGGGGACGTGTGCATGTGTGGGTGTTGGTGTGTGAGTACTTTAGCACATGCATGTGTTCAGTGTTTCACTGGCAAGCGGCAATTAACCCCACAAACAAGTTCACTTTCACATCAAATTCCCCTCTCATACTGACAGGTTCAGCCTCTATATTCATAAATATGTGTGAGTGTTTTCTTGTGTTTGTGTCTTTGTAAGGACCAAATATTCTCACAGCGACAGAAAGATGAGACAGTAGCTATGGTTTATGTTCAGCTTTATGTTCAGGTTTTTTTGGTTGAGATTTTGCTCGGATTATTTAAGGTGCAGTTTTGATAATTGTTTAATGATTTAATGAGTGGCGAGAGAGCCACACAAACAATAAGAAAGTTGTTAGTATCTTATCTTAACATAAGAGCATTAAACCCTTGCACTGGTTGATCTCACTTCCTCATACAAACCAGCACACTCAGCACATGCGCTCAGAAGTTCCCAGGAGAACATTGTTGGTTCACAAGTAAAGTAAACTCTGCCTGCCCCATTTGGACACAAAGGAGGGCTTTGTCAGGAGAAACTCAGGCAGTATCTAAAAGCCCCTAATTAATGAACACATGCCTCGCTGTCTCTGTGATGAACAGGATTCATGCAAACCAGAAGCACAAAAGAGTACTCACCCTCAATTACTCAAGCTTTTGCAAAATGACTGCAGAAACTGAATCAAAGAAGTTGGAGAGCAAGACACAGGCGAAAAAAGAAAATCCCTCTTATGTTATGTTTGAATGGGAAACATTTGGTAGACATAATAGCAATAGATGGAGTCTTCTAACCCTTCATGAGCTCATGGGCTCTGACCACGTCAAACTTGCGAGCTCTGAGGAAGCGCAGCAGCAGAGAGTCCGGTTTGTCCCCAAAGCGCTCCAGCACTAGTTTGGCCAGGTCGTCTCCCTCTGCTGCTCTGTCCTTAATCATCACACGCAGTTCCTTCAGGGAGGACATCCGCCTGTCGTCCGTCTCGTAAAGCTCATCCTTCGCCTGGAGGAAGAAAAAAAGGAAGGCTTTGAGGCTGGTGGTATGAAAAGTCTTTGCTACTTTGATTCTTCCGTTGTGAAGTCATCTTTATTGTCTGCCATCCATTAAGTGATGTTTGTTACCTTCTGCACAGTGTGTCCGGGAAGTTTGTGGCAAGGCCCAAACACCGGCCCATGATCCTTCACTGTCAAATGCTCAAGCTTTGCCCTCATGGCCTGCTCCTCCTCTGACACCATACGGAAAGTTCCAGTCTGCAAACAGACATACAGGTTCAAGCTTTTCCTAAAATATGCAGGTTTAATTAATTATAATTTGGAGTATGTTGCCTAAAACTAACAACCAAAAATCTTGTTTTTAAGCCTCAGTGGCTGCAGTCTTTGGAAACAAATTAAGAACTGCAACTATTTGACTCACTTTACCGCTTGAATAGTTCAAGGGCAGCTCATTTTAATGACCTTTAAGTGTAAAAACACAGGGCCCATCTGAGCTGGAGCACGCCCCAAAGGATGCACACCAGTGGACGCCTGCTTAATCTGCTTCACATGATTACAGAACCCACTTCTAAAGCCTTCTTCTTAAAAACAGCTTCAGGTTCCATCCTGGAGCCAGACTCAATCTACTATATTACAATAATAGCTTTAGCTATAGGGAAATCCATGAGCTGATAAAAAAAGGCTTTTAACCTATAGACCCCCACCATATGAAGTGAGGCCAGTCACTGACTAAATCTCTGGCTCCAACAGAGACACTCAAGTGATGTATTGTTGCAAAGTGATTAAACTTACAGCAGCCATGGTTGCAGCGTCTCACAGCAGCTCCACTAACTCTGTGAACAAAGAAGAATTGGCACAAACAGAACTTGAACTCATTCATTAAACGTCTGAGTGTGAACCTTTTCTTTTAGGGTAGTCCAGACATTTAGTTTGTTCATGCATTCAGAGTTTGTTTAGGAGAGGTCATGGCATCAAAAATGCATTCTTTCAGTTATTAGATTACAAAATCTGCATAAACACAAAAGCGGGCTAAAAGATGTTGAAGTTGAAAATTGGTTCCATGCTCATCAGTGGAGCAGACATCTTCTTACATAACAGCCAGACACGATACAGTCACAAATCTTGAGATAACAGACCACTGCTCCCCCATGAAACCAAGCATTACCACAGTTTGTCCCTCTTATAACACAACTTCTGTACATATTTGCTAAATCTAGATGATCATTAGCATTTATTTCTATTATTCTGATGTTTTTTTCTAGGATCCTCAGAGGTTTTTTTGTTTTTTTTCCCCATGAAAGTTATAATCTGTAAGAGGCGGGAAACGACATATGCTTCTGCCCTTTAACTAAAATGTTATTCTTTTATGAAGTCATGCAGATACATCAATATGTGACAATATTACATTTATATCGTTAATTGGCTATCGTACCAATCGCGTTAAGAGAAAGAATCAGAAAAGTTGTATACGTATATGGTTAGCAGCATAATTGAGATTCCTTCAGTAAGGCTGAGAAAGTTTTTTTACACAGCTGTTCTGAGTTTTTCAAAGATAAGCCTTCTTTAAATCACATACTCCCCTCTGTGACTTGACACAGTGTTACTAATCCAGCAATCTACTTCAATGCATTTCTTCAAGATCATTGAAACATTTAAAATATGTTATGATGCTCTGCCATTTTTTTTAAGGTATAAAGTTAATTTGAAGTTCTTTAACCAAGACACAATACACAGATGCACTGACTAAATGATCATCTGCAGCAAAAATGTTTGAATGAGTCTATCCACCACTGTGGTTGTAATACTAGCTAACAATTTCAAATAATAATGTTCCCCGGTATGACTGAATTGGGTCAAATAGAGAACAGTTAAAAGTAAAATACTAGAAAACTGAAACATTGAAATTTCAAACTTTACAGCAACAATGGTTCATGGATGTAATAACTTTTAAAATCCAAGTTTTAGTGATTTAGTGATTATCATCAAATAATACATCACAATAAACAATACAAATATCCTTCTGGTGCTCATCAATTATCTCTATTTCCATCTTCATGATGCCTTTAAGTTATTAAAACGAAAGAACTGGGCAGACTTACCTTCAGCAGACGTGATGAGCAGAGTAGACAGACTGGCGGGGGAGACAACAGGAGGAGAGAGGACCAGGAGGGGAGGAGCTACAGGAAAAAAACATCACTCAGAGCAGGATTAACATGACATAGTGGATTACAATGATTGGCTAATCTACACAAGGGGGGGGCCGGGTTGGAGGGAGATCTGGACTGTCACTCTGCTGCTGTGTCCCTGAAGAGAAAAACACATGAGCTGGTTGGAAAATATTGACCACATTAAGACTGTATGTATATATAGGAAGTGGACCAGAATTGAGCCCAATGTCTTTAACCTGCTCTTTTTCTAAAGGCCAGTAGGGGGCAAGTCCACCGGTTGATAATGTCCAATTGTATGGAAAACATGTGACCTTCCTTTCCATTTTATTTATACCTCAGTAAACATTTAACCATTGGCTGTGCAGTATGGTCTATATCTTTTCAAAGTCTTCTTCAGTACAGCATCATGTTTTTTTTAAATTAACTAAACTATAAAGGATGATGCACAAGGGAGTTCTCAATTGGGATAGAAGCGTAGTTATGCGTATCCATCCTGCTACCAAATATGGTGACTTCTTGTTCCAAAAAATACCATGATAACGGCCAAAATGCAAAACTTCAAAAACACCGCTTCAAGTAACCAATGGGTCATGTCATGGAAACGATGACCACTTCTTAAATACAAAAATAAAACATCAAATCAATAATAAAACTTACGGAAATATAAAAGCGAATCAGAAAAACAGCAAACCTTTTGAAAATACTGATACAATTTGTTACATACATTTTTTTTAGGTTTGGCCTATAAATATTTGTTTTGCACCTCTGAGCCACCATACTCTGGATTTATTGTAATATTCATTGCACAAAGTAATATTTTTTTTATTACTTTTTTAGTTTAGTTTAGTTTTAGTACTTATTACTTATTTTTTAATTTTTAAAATTCAAGCAATCAAACTAGAGGAATGAATGGATACACAACAACGCTTTTTATGATATTTAACGTACAGTATGTCATATAATAAAGAATCAACCAGCTGTAGCACAGAATGTTTTTATCTCTTCAATATCACAGCAAGTTATCTGGGAGTTCCATTTTTGTTCACTTGTGTCTCTTACATTTCCCTTTTCCCAGGATGTTGCTCTCCTCTGTTGCCCTGCTACTTCATGCACTCATTCGGCTACCAGCCCTCAGTATTACTCTGACCGGAGTTATCCTGTGTGTCGCCTAGTGAGCCTGCTGTCACCCAGTCTTACTGCACGCTAGAACAACACATGTGACATGAAAGGTGGGATTTATAGGTGACCTTGAGACTCCTGTTCCTGTGGAAATGTCATGAGAGTCGACCACCTGTGAGGGACTCGTGTTTTCAGCTTCACATTACACATTCTTTTCTGCACATTCTTTGAAATCCTCATCAGAGGGGACCGCCTGTTTTGGTACCCAGATCATGGATTAGTTATCCATGATTGCACAACATCTGACAATCCGCCTCTCTTTTGGTGCGAGTCATTTATTACAGATATCGACAATCAAATCATGTTTGCTTTTATTGTGGATATTTTGTCACATATCTGCTTCCGTCATCCTTTTATCCGTCTTATTTTTTTCCATCTTATTAAATTCAAGCTTTAGCGGTAATCAATTTTCTTTGACTTGCAGAGGTTTGCATCTGAAACTAAAGAAACAACATCTTCTGATGCCAATTCAGTCAGTTTGGTCGCCCAAGACCTCATCAACTATGTGGACTGCCATTTGACAGTCATGTTCCTAGAGGATGAAATCTAATGACTCTCTGTGCCACCTGAGAGTCAACATTTGTTGTACTGACTAAAATATCCAAACAATTAGTGGATGGATTGTCATCAAATGATTGCGTACTTTAAGTTGACCTGTCACCTGCACAAAACCTGCACGCAAATGCAGGAACTGTAGTTTTGGAACCATATTTTTATGGTATTGGAAGTGTCCTGATTTTCGTTTCAAAGTATTGTCCACTAGTGTGTCAGTGGGCTTTGGCTGTAAGCAGGAAAACAGTCTGTGTGGAGAGCAAAGGTGGTTGGAATGCAATCAGAAAAAATACAATCCCTGAACACATCGTCCGTCTAACGACAATTTAGCTTTCATTAATCTCTTTAGAAAATATATCTGTATGCAAGTGCAGCTTGCGATAAACTACTCCAGACACCATGCTTACTAGTCAGACTGTAAACAATAGCAACGCACAGAAAGAGGCGTTTTAGCTGAAAATCTATTATTGTTAACAGGAGGCTACACCGGAAACCCCCGAAAAGTTTGCCATCACTCCCAGAGGCTATATCATCGTCATGGGTTATGAGGTTGGCTTTAGCTGTGAGTGCAGCAAGTGGTGTCATGTTGATATGCTTAACCAATAAATCAAACATGGTAAACAGTAAAGCTGATAAATGGTAAGTAAGCATTGATTGTCATTTTAAGAATGTAGGTTTGCTGACGTTAGCATTTAGTGCAAAACACCTGAATGCCTTAATCTGCCTTAACATGATCCAAAAAAAAATCCTTGAATTATGAAATGAAAAAATATTTTTAAACACTTTTCTCTTCACTCTTGATACTGTGATTAAAACATGAAATCACAATCTGGAAAAAAGTGGAACTTTTTGGCTTTTGGACAAAAACTGCATCATGTTTCAGAGAGCAAAAAGAGGAGAATTCAGTTTAGTTTCCTTGCTGAGATGAGAGAAAAGGTTAATGAGCTGTGGGTGAACACAGGAAGCGTCCACCCTACATTGAAGCTTGATGCCCCGATGAGTCTTCCTCCTCCACACACTGAAGCCTCTGTCATCCAGAACTGGCAGACTTAATGTACCCTGTCATTGTTTCTTTATCGGCAACTCTCTCATTAGTGGAAGCTCATGAATGACCTCTTATTCCCTCGCAGAGACAAACAAGGGTTAACAATGCCTTCATGGCTGTCGAAGTGTTTTTGTCTCCACTATACGGTTAAGTTCTTTGATGTAAAGGAATTTGCTGTGTGCTATGTCACTCTGCAAGCCGTCAAATAGGCATGCATGAACACAAATACATACAGAGTTCTGTCTTTCAGATTATGCATCAAAGTGTTCTGCTGTTTGAATTGATAAGATATTTATCCACTAATAGATAAATGGATAGAGGAATCAGAGTTGAAGTTCAAATCAAAACCTCTTTCTGCGTAACATAATTATAATAAAGGTGCAGGTGACTTTTTTCAGTAGGAGCAGAATGTTTCAAGTCAACAAGAAATTAAAGTCACGAGTGTTATAAAGGACGAAAAAGTTTTCACATCGCCTCTTCATCCCAGACGGCACAGCACATGGCTGTCCACCAATTAATCTGGTTCTGTTGAGGTTTCTGCCACCTAAAAGGATATGATTGTTACGTGCTTGATCATTGGCAGGTCAAGTGTTTCTCTGTAAATAGCATAACTAAAAGAGCAATCTAGAAAAGCTCTAAATGTAAAGTATCATTAGATATATCTTGTTGTAATTTGTTGCTATATTGGCCTTGGTTAATTAAAAGCAAACATGTATGTTGGCAATACAAATTGTTAACTAAGCTCTGTTTAGTGCCGGCATGCAATTTGGCCTGTATTCGTCAAGTGTGTATTCCTGATGTCATTTTCCTAAGATGACTTTGCAGATAAAGTGATGTGTCAAGAGAATTTAAGAAATGAAAATACCTTCTTTAATTAACTAAGAAGCAATCAATAACATGCGTACCTAAAAGTTTATTCTTCAAGTTATGTTAAACTCCTCTAATCCTGTCTCTGTGAAAGACTCTCCTTGTTGGAGGCGGTCATCAATCGTATAGGATCAACATCTCCACCTAGTGGCACCTCCAGTGATCAGCTCACACCGCAGCAGAAACCTGGAGAATTAGGAACCATTCATTCAAACTATTTCAACTTTCTATGGATTAGAACTAGAGGGAAAAAAATAAAAAATATATGTTTTTAGACAAAAAGGCTGACAAGAGAAGCATCAACAAATACTAAAGACAAATGTATTCAATTTATTTCCATTGTTGATTCATTCATATATAACTAAGATAGCTGTCGAATATAACAGTTAATATATTTTTTTGTTAGCTTAGTTCTTTTGACTATAACATCTGCTTAAGAAATGTAACATCATTTCTGAAATCTCTGTAAGTTCCTCAGGTTCCCCAGTTCAACTTTAGTGCAAAAATCATAAGGGGTTGCAATTCTGATTTGCAAAATTGTTCTATTTATTCTCACACCAGAGAGGGAGATATTGAATACAATAAATTGGGACAGTAAACTCTATACCAGCTATACTGGTGACTGTTTACAGGCACAGCTTTGGTACTTCAATCTTTTTCCACTTTTCTTTTTCAGATTCTCTTTTCAGATTCATACTTGATTTGATTCATACTTTGTACATAGTCATGGTTGTAGATTTAAACTGTGCTTTGATTAAGTCCTCAATAGACAGCAACCCCAAACGATGTATTTTTAATCATAGTGAAACATTCAGTCACCTAATGCAATCCAATTGTTTTGTAGATATATGGAGACTTCTCTACACCACAACAGCAGATTTTTATGAATATGTTCCATTGCATAAATCCTATAGTCAGGTATGTATTATTTCCTGCTTGAATTAAAGCTGTTAGCCTCATTATTCAGTTAAGAATACAATGGTAGGATACCATGCCCCTGTCTCTCTAAAGCTGCGTTTACACCATAGGAACACACCCCAAGGACCTTATTTACCCCCTTAAGGTTCCTTAAAGTAGTGCTTTCTGAAAGCACAAGTTCTTTAAGGTGGGACCTGTAGCAAAGAACATTTCCGATTGGTCAATTATTTAAGCATTCAAAAGACTCACATGTCAGCAGAAAATTTGGCCTAATCTTCACGTGTCGTTAGACCTCAATAGAGATGCAAGCAGCAGTAGCCTGGAGGGAAATTTTAATCCATTTAAAAGTGGCCCCAGGGAATAAATATGCTTGATGCTTATGCTGCAAATGCAACTTATATCTCAAATGTAAACCACAAAATAAATACGTTAACCTAAATTTACCCCATAACAAAGGATAGAGTTAATGCCGTAAGTAGTAATCTTAATGCGATTGAGAGTCCTCAATAACAGCGCAGCAGCACCGACTGGCTTTAGCACAGAATTCCTCAAAGTATTGGGTACAAAAATTCATCTTCTAACATTTTAAACATGTTAAACCAGTATAGCCTTAGCTCAGAGCTGCCATCCACTCATTCCAAAGTTAATATCTCGCTGATTTCAGAGTGGACTGAGGCCCGAGGTAGTTTCAATGTCAACTCTTTGAAAAGTTATAAACAAACTAAACAAAATTTTCGGATTTCACTATTCATTCTTACCAAACTGGTTTAATTGGAGGTAGACACTCAGATTTAATCTCTTCCTTCTTTTCAATACTTGGTTCACAAAGTGTACCAGGAGACTGTTATCTGGTCAGACGTATACGTCACACATTTGATCAAATGGATTAGAGCTGTAAAATCTTTGTAAACTGTCATTCGTCTGAATATTTCTCACCCTTTTCAAATAATTATGTGACCATTAAAGGCTTCTATTTTAAGTTAACGTTAAATTATTAGCCATTAGCCTCAGACAATGACCTTGAATATCTTTTTTTTTTACATGCGTTTGTATAAATATCACTTTTCTCTTCATGCCGACGACATTCTCTTGTACATCTCCAAGATCAAAGCATAATTCCCCCTATTCTGTTAAAAAAAACTATAATAAGTTCATATTATGAGATGATTCTGATGAATAATCAGGCTATCTTACCATCCATTGTCCATAATAGACCTACTACATTTAATAAATCACATGTCGTCAGTCTGGTGCTTGGCAGTTCTATAAATCTGGAATCAGATAAATCTATGTTGACACTCTGGCGATAAGTACTCCTTTGTATTTTGCCTGAATTAAAAAAAATGTTTTTCCTTATTGGGTAAAACAGGGATATTGCTCAAATTGGTGACCTAAATATTAACCTTGTTTGCATGGATAAGAGCCATGTACAATAAGCCTGCATGAACTCTTTTCAAATAGCCTATTTACAAGCAATTTTCAATTTCAGCCTTTGTCTGAAGGATGTTGCCAACATTTAAAACTTTGATACATCACACAGATTTCTGTTGCCAATTAAAGGTTACCATCAATAACACATTCCTTTTGTTTAATCAAATCATAGCCATCCTTGGAGCAACAAGCGCCTTAGCCATTTTTCTAGACTTATTGACAAAAGCTGTTTTATTTGTAGTGGAGATTTCTCGAAAGTTGATCTTTAAAATGCATAAAATTGACTCTTCACTGTTTTATGATTTGTGGTGGGGGGAAATGCTTAAATTATTCTATAAGCAGAGACATCGACCATAAAACAATGCCTGAGGGAAAGTATGCGATTAGATCTGGGATCCAGGGGGCCTAATTCATTGTTTTGTCGTTTGGTAAATGGTAAATGGTAAATGGTAAATTGATTTGAGCTTGTATAGCTTTTCTAGTCTTCTGACTACTCAAAGTGCTTTTAAACCGCAGGTCACAACTACTTATTCGCACCCATTCACACACTGATGGCAGAGGTTTCTATGTAAATTGACCATCAGAAATAACTAATCCCATTTGTACACATTCACATGCCACACAAAGAAGCAGTGGACTCATCAGACATGTAGCTGCAGGAGCTGGGGATCGAAACCAGTGGGACATCAGGCCAAATTTTATGTTACAAAACACATCTGATAACTTATTCAGTAATACATCAAGTAATGTCATTACACCATTTAATAGCCTATCTAACATGGCAGTTAGCTAGCTAACATTGCACAAGACATTTGTTGGTATGTGCATGCCCATTTAAACTGGTATTACCCAAAAAAATGTTTTTGCTGACATATGCATGTTTTTTGTGAGACAAATAATCCATAACCTCCAACTTCTGCTATTTGTTCTGTTGATGAAACCATCAGACCCTCACATGAGGGACTAAAACAGGAAATGTGACTGAGCACAGTTAATAATCTGCATGTGATGGAATTAGCATAATAGTTGAATTGAGTGTAAGCAGGCTGAAAGCACAGACAAACTGGACCTTTTTTAACTCTGTGCATACTTTTGAAATGTATTTTCACACTGCTTTAATACTTAGCATATAAAAAGCATACATTATTATTATCAAATTATAAATATGGGCCATTAAAAGTACCGTATTTGCCCTTAAACCAAGAACATTTGCAGTAAAGCACCCAATGTGTTGTCCTGCTTGCTTTGATATCTTGATGCTGGTAAAAGAATGAGCGTTGGAGTGAACATTGTGGCAAACAGAAAAGGCTGAACACAGGCAAAGGTCAATAGAATGTAAATAACAGGGATGAGCAGTTTTAAATACAGCCAAATACATGTCATTCTTTCTCATCTGTGGTAATAACCACTGAAGCTTTATTATAAAAGTGCAAACAGAATAAAAATGAATCAAACATTTTCTCTCTTATTTTGGCATTCAACTTTCTAAGGCACCAGGGAATCAGTTTACATGTACAAACTAGTGATCTGGACTGCCTGAAATGTTGATCAATCATTCAGTTAGTAAAGATGAGGCATAAAAGTGTTACAATAGTGAAACCTACAACTAAAAGAATTGAGCTAAACTGTCAGTATTAAGCAAATCAACTTGTGTCAGTAGAAACGGCATTAAAAATAACAATTCACTAAGGCCAACCGTCAAGCTGTGTCTGTAGTGAAGGGCGTACCAAGTAAAACACTAAAACCAAAGTGCGGAAGCTTCTTGTTTGGATTCATTACAATTAAATGTAAACCTTAAAAATCTGGTGGTGCCTGTATACTAGTGTGATTGAATTAATTATAAGGTATCATATGCGTACAACTCTGCCCTTTGTATCCAGAGGTTTCCTGGATAAAGGTTAGATTGTGCTTTTGTTTGCAGGTCAGAAGCATGTTTGAAAACACGGATAGTGGTAAATGAGTAGACACAGTGATCTTTTCCCTGTGCTTCTCGAAGTGGTTCAACAAACTTGCCTTAGCTTTACGTGTTTCCTCTTTCCTTTCAACCCAATACATGATATTAGGGAATCCTCTTTTAACAAATGTTTTTAAAGTATCTTAAAAGTGATAAAACCACCATCTGTTGTCATGCTGCCTTTACGATTAAAGACTCCAGAGCTGGATGTAACAGTGCAAAAGTAACTCTACTTCTTTGCTGCAGTAGATTGCACAAAGCGCCCAGGTCACATCCTGACACGGGCGCCAGCTGATTTGCCACCTGGTCTCAGTCTCAGCCCAAAAACGTCAAAGTTGCCATGACGCTGAAGCCCAGCAGGATGAAGAGCACCTTGATAATCTGTCTCCCAGGGGAGTTGAGCTCATGTGGGAGGATCTCCATAAACGTGATGTAAACAAATGTCCCTGCAGCGAGCCCCTCGAGGATGGCCTGGATGAGTGCTCCAGCTGCTAGCCCCGCCTCCATTACAGAGATGCCGATGGCGATGCCTATGGGTGACATCATGGCGAACACTCCGATGTAAGCAGCCACCCATAACGGACTGACGGCGCTCTGGACCAGCTTCACAGATAGGCTGAACACGATGATGCTCTTGTGGATAAGTATAGCGACACAGAGCTCTAAAACCTGGAGAAAACGCAGACATTTAATGGTTAGTTCTTGATATAATGGGCAATTAGAAAAACATCTGCACAAGTAATTGAAGAGTTTATGCAAATGTAGTGCAAGAAAGAAACATTTATTAACAGAATCTTTCACTCTGCTATTTATACAGTGGTAGCTTTGTGTTTCACAGTAGGCATCACTTGGTAATACTTTTTATGAGTAAGTACTCAACCCTTGGTGCTGTTGTACCTGGTGTCTGTTTCATTACTTGAAGTATAAATTGTATTATGTTTTCCTTTGTTCTATCAGATATTGGTATTCTTTGGCTTCGTGTAGCATCGCAATATTTCTAAAAAAATAATAAAGCAACCGTTTTAATTAAATGTTTTTTATCGCCTTAAATGTTGGGCTGAAGTAATGTATTGCATTATTGTCGTTTTTTTTTTTATGTAAAAGAGGAGACAATTAGAAATCACTATCCATACAGAAGAAATCCCTTTGCTTCACAAAACCTGTCCTATATTGCACACTAGGTGTCCAGTGTAAAAATGTGTCCCTTTTGAGAAGTATATACTTCAGAATTTATGTCTCCTTTGAAAATGAGATCTCAAATGAGGTTTTGTCTTAATAGGTCAATCATTGTATCATCACTCTCTGAAATCTATTTCTTTAAGTAGTGGAGTACATTCCCAGCAAAATAAAATAAAACACAACAACTGGTTTTGTATAGCTGAAGAGTCCTGAAGGCACACTGATAGGATGCTGATGCCTTATGTCTCATGAGACATCCTCACGAGGATGTCTTATGTGGATTAAGCTAATAGCTGGCTTTTAACCTCATAAGCTTCCTACACTTCAGTTTTGTGAACTACAACCATAGCACCATACAGCACAACACCAGGTCATTTTCATTACAACTTATATTGTCATTGATCATGCACACCGTTGCAACAAAGGATATTGACAAAAAGGATTGAAGGAAAGACCAAGTGCAGGGAATTAACTAGTCACATGATAAAGTTTATAACTGAATGGCTTTACACTCAAAGGCTGGAATAGGAGTACTGTGCTCTGACGTTTAAACAAAGTGTATCACATGTTATTAAGTGTGATGAACCTGTGACAGGAGGGTGATATAATTAAGTCTGTGTGGGAGAAAAGGAAGAGGATAAAATCATGCATTGTGTTAGTTCTATATGCAGAAGCTGCACATGAGAATAACAACTTCCTAACCCATTTACATGGACTTTAAACAAAGTTTAACCTCCCCTGGTTGGAAATCCGTACAGGCTTATGAATGGGCTTATGTGTGAGTGCAGCAAGTAGTTATTCAAGCTGTTTACTGTAAGTGATTGGGCTTGTTGGTGACTGTTCGCATAGCATGGAAATGTGTTGTTTTATACCATTTCCTGCTAGCCTCAGTTGCCTGTATTAATTTTCTATTCTTGCATTTGTATTACAGAAACATCCTTGGACACGTTTTCTTGGTATCAACACAAAAACAGTCACCATTACAAAGAAATCATCCAGCTATTGCTGCATGCTTTATGCCTCAAATTAACAAATTGAGTATTTCCATTTATTGTATTTATTGCCGTCTCACACAGACAGGCTCTCTGCACACAATGTGTGAAAGAGCAAGTTCCAAAAAGTGGAAGTGTTTTAATGATAAAGTGTTTGTTAGACCTCAAGGATACACATTATGTGTTCTGGTGAATTACACTGAGTGGAAATAAAACTACTGTACTCTCTGTCTTCTTACCTTTGAGTCTGTGCTCTGCAGACCAATAGCTAGGCCCTCAAATATCGAGTGGATAGAGAGGGAGAAGAAGAGCATGAAGGAACGAAAAGGGGAGTGAGCGTTGAAGTCAACGTGGACGTGTTGGCTGCTGCCCTCCACATCAGGGTCCGCTACAGGGTTGTGCCCGTGTCCATGACCGTTCCTGTGGTCCTGTATCAGAGGCGCCCTCTCCTCCTGAGCTCCTCTCACCCCCCCACAGTTTAGGACTATCCTCTCCAGGATGAGGACAGCGAAGAAGCCAGATGCCATGATAAACTCTGGAAGGGGGAAGTTGGTCTGTTTGTGACCACCACAGAAAAGATTAATATGTTTTCAGGCTTGGTCTAATAAAATCAAACTTTAGACAGACAACAGTAAATGATGTCTATGAGGACCCCTCTACATCAAGGTCAGACTGTTTATTTTAAAACAAAAGTAACTGGAAGAGCAGATTTACTCTAGAAGGATAAAGTAATTACAAAGATCTTATAACAAATGTCTATCACTTGTTCTCACATTATTCAAAGCATTTAGACACGTATTGTCCTTCACTATCTTACATAATAAATACGGCTGAAAAAGGTTTCATTTACTACTTTTTTATGGTTTTTTGACAATTTTCACTTTGGACTGGGCATTTTTCACTACTGCTGTCACTTTATTCCAAAGGGCTGATAGATCATTTGAAAAATGTTGATGGATACATTTAAAAAAAATCACTGTTAGTTTCAGTGTAAATGTGTGATATATGTGAGGCCCGTTCCTGGACGTACCTCCACACTCCGAGCCTCCAGCTCGACGCTGATGTCGGACAGATAAGTGGGAATGATGTCCAGCAGACATGCTGCCAGGAAAACACCACCAGCAAAACAGCTAATCAGACTCAGGACTGTCCGTTGGATTTCTGCAAATGAAAAGAATGTTGTTTTAAAAAAAGCATCCATTATGTTTTACACAATGGTACCATTGTAACACAAAATAACTCCCTGAACTGCAAAGTAAAGAATGCATCTTTTCCGATCATTCATGAAGACTTTTAACTTCTCATCAACTGGGTGAATCAAATGACTTAATGTATCACTGCCACTCCCTCCAAAAGGTGGAATATTTTTTCTTTCGAGGGCATGTGACACATCTCGGTTGTGAAAGAAGAAACAAAAGTCAAAACTCAGCGGAACACATACGAATGTAGGGAGGAGAAATTACACTTGTTTCACTTCCATTTAAGGAGGCCAAACTTCACTAAACAGACTCATTTTTATCATGCATGAAAGCAAAAGTGACCATATTGCTGAGAGGGCTTTTGGGCTTCAGGCTTCATCCCTTTCAGCTGACTTCAGCTAAGGCTTGAAAGAGGGGGTAATTAATACTTCTATTTATTTATTTTTTAGCCCAATTAAGTTCACTTAAATTAGAGAAGCCATGTATTGGTGCAGGGATGAATAAACAGAGACAGGCCATGTGACAATAAAACGTGCTTATAATTATGCATCATCATGGTTATTGACTGTGAATGATTGGGACCAACCATTAATATTATTATTATTATTACCATATAATAAAGCACTCCATCAGTTATCACTAGTAGCCTGTCAGCAACAGCTAATAGCGTTGATAAGACTATCTAGAATTAAAACATGTGATCAGACAGTCAGGCGCATCGTCTACCTTTCATGTTAGGAGGGTCCCCTATACCAAACTTCATTCAAAACTCCGGAAATTTGAGGTTAGGCTTATTAAATGCGGACGTAAATACATAGAAGAACAGAAATGAAAACAATATTATCATCAGTGCATTTCCTGTTTTAGATCGGCAGCTGTTTCCAAAAGAAAACATAACTCTAATCAAAGTAAAAAGTCAGATTTATTGTCTATAACCCTCATTGTTTACCTCCTGCTGTCCACGACTACTGTCCCCTAAGAGGAGGCTGTAACAGTCATATTAGTGTTTTATTTATAATCTTGATGTTAGACTCTTAAATTACACAAATGATACCTACCTGTCGCGTTTGTGTCCTGAACCACAGGACTCGAGCTGGGATAAATCCAAAAAGGAGAGTCAAAAACAACAAACCAAACAGAGAGCCTACTTTCACTCCGAGCAAGTAGTCCATTTTTTTTTTTTTTTAGCATTAATTGTCAGAAGAATGAGGTAAACTAACTAACTGTACTATCATTTGATACGCTATGAAGCAAACCGGAGCTTGCTAACCCCAAGACGACAAGAGTTTCACTGAGAAAACAACAACCTTAGTATTATATATGGAAAGCATAGGCTGCGCTGTTTGGACTACGGTGGCCTATAAGGCTAAAAGAAAAACGAATCGCGAAAGTAATGAATTGTAGTTCTCTCTCCTAAGCTCTTGATAAATCCTAAGAAAGTGCCCTTAATGGGGCTTGCTGACCTTGTTAAATACACGTAATACACATAATAATAATAATAATAATAATAATAATACACATAATACACATAATAATAATAATAATACACATAACATTATTAATAAAAATAATTAAAAAATAATAATAATAATAATAATAATAATAATAATAATAATAATAATAATACATTTAATTTGTAACGCACTTTACATTTTTGCAAAAAAATCTCAAAGTACTACAGGAAGAAAAAAATAGAAATAAAAACAAATTTAATCAACTAAGCAACTAACGAAACTAAAAGCACAAGCAGAAGGCTTTGTTAAAAAGCCCCTTTAAAAGCATCAGCAGACTGTAATACAACTTGGTAGTAGGATAAATAGCATAAAATTTAGTAAAAGTAATTTAACTGAAAATAATGATGAATTAAGTATGATGCATATAAGGCAAAAATGTATTTACTTAAGTGACATAATTAAATTAGAGATGGGCCTTTAAATATTTTCAAACCAAGCTGGTGCCTAGCAAAGATGGGAAAGACTATGATAGGATTGTAAAAAAAATGTACAAAATTGGGATAGCATTAAAAAAATACAAACAAATTAGAAACTTCTTGCTTTTGTAAGACGGCCTACCCATGCCAACCTGCTGCACTTTTTTCTACTTATTTGTGATCTGCAAACTATTTCAACGATAGTCAAAATAAATGAACTGGGGCCTCTAATTAAGAAATGCCTTTATTTCTCAAAACTTGCAGCAACACCAGGGGACTGTGTTTTAAAATGTTTTCAAGTGTTATTATTTATTTTAAGTGTTATTTAAAGTCTACTTGAGGAACATGAACTGTCAGCTGTGATTTTAAACTAGTTCTTTTAAACCTTTAAACCCCACTGCAGGTTTATTTCTCACATGTTTTATCTTAGTTGAGTTTTGGTCACAAACAATTATTCTATGATAGAAAAGTCTTATTGTAAAGACATCACTTGAGTGTTCCGCTATACATCACATTTTTCCTGCTGTAACTGTATTAATTTTATCTTTTTTTGGAAATGGCCAGAAGGTGGCTCCTCGTCACCAGTGATCGCCGCTTCAGCTACCACAAGAAGACGACGAGTTGATGACGTCGACTTTAAGCGCCGGAAATGTTGACCCCAAGAAATGCCAAATGCTGATGTGTTACAAGAAATTACAGCGCAGGGAGACTTTTGAGTTTGTTTTTTTGAATGCAGTAACTTAATAAAACGGAGAAAGACAGCGTCGGGTTTACAGGTCGATGTCAAAGAAGACGCAGAGAAAGAGATCAACAGAGAGCCGATGGCGGTGAGAGACAGAAACACATGTTTACTTATTCACATCTGTCTATTTATTAAATAAAACTTCATTCTAAGTGATGCTGGAGAGCAAAGCGACTAAAGTGCAGTGAAAGTAGTTGTAGAAGAAGCAAACTAGCGTCTGTTTTGGAAATAATAAAGACGACTAAATGTAATTATCCTGTGTTTTATCCTCCACTGTTGTCATGAAGTTAAATCTCAGTTTTGATCATTTAAAAGAAAGTGACATACAGTAATCTAAAACTGACTTATTGCTTTCTGGATATAAGGTGTGCATCTATTCAGATATGTGTTCATGCAGATGTTGAAAATCCTTACTTCTAAGGTTTTGTTCATTCAACATTAACCCTTCATTATCACTAAATACAGTTTTTAAATTCAATGCAATATTCGTTGTATATCACATTTCATACACATTTAATAATAATAATAATAATAATAATAATAATAATAATACATTTAATTTGTAACGCAAAAAAATCTCAAAGTGCTCCAGGAAAGAAAAGAAAATAGAAAAAAAACAAATTTAAATAGAAATAAAACAACAAAATAGAAAAAAAACAAATTTAAATAGAAATAAAACAACAAAATAGAAATAAAACAACAATAAATTTAAATAGAAATAAAACTAATTTAATTAAGCAACTAACGAAGCTAAAAGCAGAAGGCTTTTTGTTATGTAAACTCAATGTGCTTTACAGAAGACACAAATAAACAAACACAATACAACTTGTAAATAAATGAAGAAATAGATCAAAAGCACACGTCAAAACACATGTATGTAGTTTAAGGGGATACCAACTTGTACAAAAAACACAACCCTGTAAAATCAGCATAGTATAAATGTGACCAGTGTTTCCCCTAGGTTTACAGCGACATGCCAACATGACAACACAAACACTTGAAGGAATCTTGGTGTTCATGTGATACTTTTAATGACAGCTGTCCTTTTCTATCGGAAAGGTATCCTTAAATGACTTCTTTCCCTGATTTCCGAATCTATCCACTATCATATCTCTACAATAAACAAAAATAAATCTTTAAAAAGAATATATATATATATATATATATATATAATGGTAGGGGAAACACTGGTGACTAAAATCTACAGTCAAAAGTTGTTAAACATTAGAGATGTTGAGTTAATTTATTTGCTTTGGAAGACTTGCGTGTATTGAAATACACATTCTACTTTTTCTTTTTGAGGAAACGGCTTTTAGAGGATGTATCTGTGTGTCCATTTACATTTTGAAAAACAGTCGCTCTTATCAAACTTTCCAGCGTTATAACAAGAGAGTTTGAATCGTGAAAATGATCAAGCTGGTGTCGTATTTATTGCAACCTTATGTCTGGAAGTAGATAAAGTAATCCTAAAGTTTTGATTCATTTTGTGATGTGCCGTTATTTTACAAGTCTGATTTCTGTTTACATGGAGAATTTATATTTGTACATCCTGGGATGCGAGGCCGGTTAAAATTCATAAATCCTCAGGGTTACAGATTAAGGAAGTTGCCTTTGTTATAACCTGAGATTAATTTTACACATTAAGTTACAGTTAGATTTTTAATAAATTAGACGTCTCACCAACTATCACACAAAAAGGCATTTCGGCAGAGAGAGTTCTTTTACACTTTACTAAACTGACTGAGAAAGCTTTGATTGGTTGATATTGTTGAGAAACCGTCTGATATTGCTGAAACTGTTCTTTATTTGTTTTGCCCTGCAGCCCAAAGGTAAGGTTGGCACAAAGGGAAAGAAGCAGATCTACGAGGAGAATGAGGCAACGCTGAAGTTTTACACACGAGTCATCCTCGGAGCTAACGTAAGGACATTATCGTGTTCTGTAACTGATAAGACTGACCTTGCAGTCCTTGAATGATATGTGATATAAACATCAGTTTAATGATTTATTTCCTGTGTGAACTTTATTCCACTTGGATCATGGTTTTGTACACTTTTTCAAACTTCCTTTTCAGCAAGCTGTCGATCATCCATGCAGCCAGATGTATGTTTCACTGCTAACACCAAACCCAACGATAGTATTGATATGATGTTCTAGGTGTCAATAAAACTTTACTCGTCATGGTAACTGTTGTTACTGTCGATTCAATCACTTGTGAATTTGGTGAGAAATATAGAGTATGTCTTTTATCCGAGGATAGCGAGGTGTAAACTGGAGGGATCATGATGACTGCGACACACAAAGTATACCAAGGTTTTTTTTTTATTTAGCTTTCTGAGTGATTTCACAAATTGAAATAATTAATTTTGTTTCATTAAAAATAATTAAAATAAATTAAATTCTCAGAGGTCCCAGTTTAATCCCTTTTCCCATATACATCGTTTCCATATACACATCCTAACCCTGTCAATTATGTAAAACAGCAAATTTCATATTTGAGAAGCTGGAGCCTTGTTGAAAATGAGTTTTCTCTTGCCAATTAATGAATCACTGGACTTCTCATTGCAGCTCTGTTGTACCGTCACAGCATTCCACTTTAGTAATAAAACGCTATTCCACAGGCCATTTATGCTGCTGTAAATCTTTTGGTTTTCTACAGTTCATCTACATTTTGGACATGGGTGAGTGTTTGTTTCATTTTCTCAAATCTTTACATGCGTATCTACGTAGTAATATGTTGTTACACCACTAACCTGACTGCTCCTAATCTTTGTATTCCTGCAGCTGTGGCTCATGTTCGCACTAGCGGTGTATGTCGGGAGTTACCGCTCCATGTCAGCCATGGCCAAGCCCGTGTTTGCTGAGGATGGAAGTCTCCTGGACGGAGGAATAGACTTGAACATGGAGCAGGGAATGGCAGAGTAAGTGAGCTTGAAGGTCTATTTACACTATTAAAACAATCTATCAGCCTTTATTTAAACTGGTCAGTGTGCATACAGTAAATGTCATTTTAGGGCTGCTTTCAGATGTTACTCTGCTCTCCTGGTTTTGATACCCGTGTTAATAGTATTGATACCTCTCATCTGTCTACAATCAGTCTCTCCTAACCACCTGATTGGTTGGATGTTTTGAGGACAGGAAGCTTTGCAGACCTAACTCATGGCCAGGAGTACAACTCGCCCTCCTCCACTACATAAATTACTTAATTTATATTTTTACCTGGAGGCAACAGTGCACCGCAATCAAACATCAGTCTGTGCTAAGATAATGAAGAACAATGATCCTGAGACATGCATAGAGTTGTCTGTGATTAAATCTAAATATTTGTTGTTGTTTATTTCTGTATGAATACATATTGTTTACTAACAGATGATTACAGTAGAAAAGGTTATTTTCCAAAGGAATTGTGCATTTATATTAAGACGTTTTGGCAACATATTTTTCTTTTGGACTTTCTGAAAAGGATAAAATGTAAATATTTGACTTAATATAGTAGAATACAAGTAAACAAGCAGCTCTATCATTTTGTTTATCTGGTTTAATTTTTCTTGCTAAACAGCACATAGTTTGTTTATTTCAGAACACGAGATTTGTCAGTGATAAATAATTGTCCCTGTGTTCTTGTTTTAGGCACCTGAAGGACGTCATCCTGCTCACAGCCATAGTTCAAGTTCTCAGCGTTATCTC